CCACAATAAAAAGGGAGTAATACGAAAATGTGTCGAAAACAAGGGTAAAACAGTTAGAATTACACTGATGTATTTTGTGTAGTAAAAAGATAAGCAAAATGCGAAAATGTAAAGTTGATGTGTGTTTTTTGTTTTTGTAAAATATTCGCTGCTGCGTATATAAATTAGCAAAAAGATTTGCTGCCGACGAGGACGCGCTTGTGCGATAATATTTATTATTACATAGTTGGCAAGATTGACACATGTGTCCGCTAGCCAAGCCTAACTATATACATACTATCTATGACTTGCTGCAGTGCGGAGTTGGGGATTGTGTGAACGCACTTTGACTTGACTACTTTTTTTTTGCATTTATTTTGTTGGATTTTACTTGCCAATCCTTCTCACTTTTACCTTTAATTTCTAATTTATGCCAATTCATTGTCTCTCGCCATAACAATAACAACAATAATAATAAAAATATATATATATATATTATTATTAAACCAACCAACATGATAATAAGGGATGATAGTTGTAAGCTGTAAGGATGATTCGCCCTTCTTTTTGCTACTGTTTAGGCAAACAAAATATGGATAGATAAAAATAAAAGCGTGTTGGGTGGATGGCTTGGATGAGTCGGGAGGAGGGCTCGTGCAGGCTTACAAAAATTAATTTCTGATTACCTTTTGCTGGTTTGATTTGAATGAATATACGAGTATGCATGTCCTTGCCTCCGCACCCCAGCGCAGCACCAGCAAGCTTGTAAATTTTCATAATGTAAAAGTGTGCACATATGTTGCCAAAAGTACCCGGCGACTCTTACCCACTGACACTCGAGGAGTAGTTAGCTTTTTTATTTTACTTGTGCAACCAGTTTAGTTCGGCTGGTGTTTGGTATTTTTTGACAATGCTGTTGATGTTGCAAACTGCGGCGTGCGCTGCACAATGGTAAAGTGGGGAGGAAAATTAACTAGTGAAATTCAGAAAAAATCGAAAAAAATTTAAAATTTTTAGAGTGTAAGATAATTTAAAAAACATATTTTTTCCAGTATTGCCATGCCAAAATTTTAATTAAATATGTTGCCACTTTTAACGTTTAGATAATTTAAAATTTTCTTAGATATTTTAGATATATGTAGTTTTCGTAAAAAAATGTCAAATGAAAAGTTCTATAAAAAATTCACAAAATCTGCCCTAAAGCGAAATTATAATTTTATGTATAAAGCAATAAAATAAATTGAATTAAAAAAATTTACTTTAAATAATAATAAGGCAACAAACACCATTTACAATTGGAAATTAAAAAAAAATGTTGGCATTAGAAACCAACCATTTTGACTTGTGAACTTTGCTTAGTCTAGAAATTAAATTTTAAATAAAAAAAATATAAAAAGTTCATAAAAAATAAAGAAATTATAAATTTTTCAATGAAATAATGTTCATAAAAGAATTTGAAAAAATCTTTTCCAAAACAAAGTTTTACAAAAAGAAATTTCACAAAAAGAATTTACAAAATTTGCCCTAAATCTCAAAAAGAATTATCTATAAAAAAAATTAAGTAAATAGTATTAAACTTAATTTTACTAAATACAGTAAAGCAATGTCATATAAAAATTGAAATTTAGTTTTCAATAACTTTTTCTAGTCTAATTTATGGTGTAAATCTGTTCAAAGCAACTCTTCAAACCATAATAAAATATGTAGTCCTTTAAAAATTAAATTTAATGTTGCGATAAAGGATAACTTATAACTTAAAAAATTATCGTTGCTGAAGATAGGTTACTTCTCTCAATTAAGTACAATCAAAAAATAACTATTTGTCCTCCCTATCAAAAATTCATTCTATTTCGACCAAATATTCACAATTTTTTAACCACTGTGCATTACATAACCTCACCACTTGCTATGACGCTTTCGCGCGGTGGTTGTTGTTCGAATGCATTCTTCATCAATTACAAACTACTATTTTGCCATTATCTCTAAGCATAGACGCATCGTTTGCAAGTGTAAAAGAGAGGTTAGTTGGTAGATGGAATATCCCAGCCGCATGCCACATTTGTTGCTTGCAACACCATGCAAGGTGGGTGGAAAAAAAAAGAAAAACAAAAAAGAAGTAAGATTTATAAATATTGCCTACAAAAGGCGTCGAGTGCAATCCCTGGTATTTGTATTTAATTATTTTTAAATTAGAAGAATTGAAAGCGCAGGCGGCGTAAATAGGTTTGATGAGGGGTTGTCTTTCTAA